CAGCTGCTCTGCTGGAGGATGGACAATCTCCTCCCATGTGATTAACTGCCTCTGAAAACCCACCAGAGGGTCAGGTATGGGTCTGTTTCAACTCAGTGGTACACACCAACATAACAAATATGCACACTGAAGCTAAGATAAAGGATCTTTTATAACAGTAAGTTGAAATGAGTGAAAAATTATGTGGAAGAATATGTGAAGTAGTGATGTTTATAATGTAGATCATACCTATTTTTAGATTCTCTGATACTGGGTTTAGATGTGCTTGTTCTATTCTGTAAACCAAATAGTTGGCCTATATATTTTAGCTATGTGTTTACTTTTTATAGTGACAGATCTCTTATAAAAACTAGAAATAGAAATCCCATCTTTAGTGTTAATATAGTACAGGAACCAGAGAAGAAAAGGTCTTAAGGTGCTGTTAATTAGCAGAAATTCAAAGCAGATAGTCTCAAAGCAATTAAGGCTGCTAATTGAATATTTGGATGCACAGTGTGATAGCTCATATGTTTCTGGGCAGGACTCCCTAGGCTTGCATATAGAAGTTACATTATACAAATGATATTGAAAATATGAAAAAGGAACAAATATGGGTCAACATATGTTTATCTAGCAGCTAATTACATTTACTAATGGTGAGACATCATTTGGTATATGCAAATTCTCTTGTTAACTTTAAAATCCAGTCTTTCAGCATCTTTTTAACTTTTGAAAACTGAAAAATAACAACAGGCTTATGGCCATGGCTGTTTTGCTTTTGTGTGGTTGGTAATCACCTTTAGGGCTCCCACCATAGCGAGTGTAGGATCTGTGCATGTTTAGGGTGGAACTAGGTGCTCAGGGTGGCTAAACTATACTGAAGTCCTTTATAGGCTTTTATAGGCTCCATTAGCTGCAGCATGATTAATGTACACATTGCTGTTGTTAAGTAGTATCTGTTCTGACTCATAGTGATCCTATGTACAGCAGAATGAAACAATCCGGTGTATCCTCATTAACTCTGCTGTGCTTAAATCCATTGGGTATGGGTTTTTTTAAAATTTTTTTTGTCTGTGTCTCTTTGTTGTTGTTATGTACTATAGAGGTGAAACAGACTGAAAAATGACTTTCCAGGGAGTTTTCACAGATACACACACAAGAAGAAATTGCCTGTCTTTCTCTAGCAAAGAAGGTGGTGGATTAGAAACACATACCTTTGGGTTGGAAGCACAATTTCTTACATTTATTCCTAGGTGTTTAATATTCTGGTTGGCTACTGTAAACGATATCACTTTTCTTATTTTCTTTTCAGTGTTTTGGGCTTTTTTTTTTTTGTTGCTGTAGATAAATCCAACTGATTTTTGTAGGTTGGTCTTGGATCCTGCCACTCTCCTGAATAGGTCTACTAGGATTAATAGTTTTTTGTTGAATTTTTAAGTGTTTGTACATACCCTATCATATCATCTGCACCCTTTTTGCCAATTGGTGCCACTGAGTATGACTCATAGTGACCCTGTGAACAGCTGAACGGAACTCAGACCTATTCTGTGCCATCCTCATCATCTCTGACACATTTGATCCCATTTCTGAAGTCAATGTGTCAATCCATCTAGTTGTGGATTTTCTTCTCCTTTTCTAATCTTCTGTCTTTCTAAGCATCATGTCCCTTTCCAAAAGCCTCACTTAGCCACATGTCCAGAGTATGAAAGATGAAGTTTCACCATTGTTGCTTCCAAGGAATACTCTGGCTGCACTTTTTCTAAGACATATCTGTTTGTCTAGAATGTTGAGGAGCAATGATGTAAATTTGAAGACAGGTGTACCTGATTTAGACCATGATCTTTTCAATCACCTGCTATGCATTAGAGAGCTGGACAATGAATAAGAATGACAGAAGAAGAATAGATGTCTTTGAGTTGTGGTGTTGGAGAAGAGTGCTGAATATTCAATGGACCGCCAAATCCATTGTTTTAATGGGGTAATTCAACTCATTGTACAGCGACTGGGTCAATCCAACTCACTGAAGGTCTTCTTTTTTGCTAACTTTCTATATTACTAACTCTTCCTCTATGGCCCTTTCTGAGAACATGCCCAACATGTATGAGAGGGAGTCTCACCATGCATTCTAGCTGCACTTTATGCAAGACAAATTTCTTTGTTCTTTTGATAGTCTACAGTACATTGGCTATTCTTTGCCAACCATAATAAGTTCATTTTTAAAAAGAAACTTCAGTAGTGTTTCAAGGTTGTAAAAACAAAAGTCCTTAGCAAATGAAAGAGAAATGAAATATTAGAAGAACTTCTGAGGAAAGTCATGAATATTTTGAATGATACTTTCTTCTTTCACTTTCTTTTATTAGCTCTAACTTTAGGGCAAATTCCTGAGTGGTGCAAATGATTTTTACCAGACTACTGGAGTAATTGAGAGCATATTGTGCTGCTAACCCAAAGCCTCTAATCTCCATTAGTTTGAATCCAAAAGTGACTCTGCAGAAGAAAGATGAGCTGAGTTACAATCCATGGAGAAACTCCCATAGAGGGTTGTTATAAGTTGGAACCTACTTGATGGCCGGGTTAGTTTTTACTAACCTAAATGCTATCATTTCAAACACATCCAGCAGCTCTGCAGAAGAAAGGTATGGAGACCTGCTTTCATAAAAATTACAGCCAAGAAAGCTCCAGGGAGCAACTCTACTTTGTAACATCCTAGTGGTGGTGGTTGTTAAACTCATAGCGACCCTATGTACAGTAGCCCTGAAGCCTTCCCTGCCCTGAGCCAGTTTCACTGACTCCGACACACCTACCACCATTACTCCACTAATAGTGTCAATCCATCTTATTCAGTCTTCCTCTTTTGCACTGTCCCTCCACCTTTCCAAGCATGATGTCTCCAAGGACAGGTCCCTTCTAGCAACGTGTCTTAAATATGTCAGACAGAGCTTCTGAATCCTTGCCTCCAAGTAAAACTTAGTTTCACCCTCTCCAAGACTGTTTGTTCTCTTGACTGTCCATGATATGTTTAGTACTCTTCTCCAGCACCACAACTCAAGGACACCAGTCAGTCTTCTTTTAGTCTTTGTCTTGCTTTCAGAAGTATAGTAAGTAATTGCAAAACCAAGGCCCAAATCAGGTACACCTTAGTCCTTAGACTGATATCATTACTCTTTAGTGCTCTAGACAGCAGGCCTTCCCAATGCAATTTGTCTTTTGATTTCCTCACTGCTGGTGCCAAGAGCACTGATTGTGGAGCCAAGCAAGCTGAAATTATTAACAACTTCTATCTCTTTTCCAATTGGTATAAATTTGATTTAGCAAATTTAAATGGTATAAAATAACAGAGCATAAATATCACAAAACCAAGTTTGTTTTGGTGATAATTTAGAGGTAGACTTTTGCTTCTGTCTATCTCTAGAGAAGGGAAATGAGTCAGGGATGAATTCAATCTCTCCTAGAATGACTTCCTCCTTTGAACAGAGTGGTTAATTTTCTAGTCTCTCTGTTATGAGGAAAGAGAAATGACACGAACGATTGAAATCAAGAAAGCTAATTGGCCAGTAGTTCTCACCAACTTACCAAGCCTCGCAAGTAGCATGCTTAATTGAGTCTTCCCTCCCCCAATTATTTTTAACCCACTCACTGAAAAAAAATTTCTAGCATCCCATGAAGCAGGTGTGGGTTTTTTTTTTAGGTGGAGGAGTTGAGCTGATAGTGAAGAATAACAGCCCAGAACCTAAAAATTCCCAAACACGTGACCTAGGTACTTATATAAGGCGCTAAGCATACATAAAGGGGCATGATTTAGTGATGGATTAACTGAAACTTCCAACAGACATTAAGTAAACGCACAGAGCTCATTAAAAAACAAATTGTACCAGAGAGCTAAAACTGTGCCTATTACACAAATATACCTCTTTAAAAATATAAGCTCACCTGGTTAGAGGTTACTGGCTGGGATTTTTGAAAAGTGTTGACTAGAAGACTGACGCCTTTAACACTGGACTGGCATTATTTCCGAGAGGTAATGACTTGACCTCTTTGGATCAGGAACACTCTCGTTGGTTACGAAAGCGTGCGTTTCATTATTTACTTGATTTCACCAGGCGATTGGGAGGTTTGTACACAGCCAGGAGACCTGCAGCAGCCCAGACTCTGAAACACAACCCCAACACTGTTTCTGCATTACCTCTTAGCACTCACGCCTTTGAAATAGTGTATTCCTTAAAACAACTTCTCTAAATATATCTGCATCTCTTGATAAAACATGTTTCAAAAAAAGATTTGTTTTTAGGAAACACAAATTTCTTGGAAACTTTTCCTTGCTCAAGTTTGCACTGTGTAATAAGGTGGAGTTAACATAAATTCCTCTTTAATAAACATTCTGAACCCCAACTCTTTTTTTGTTGGGGGTCTCCTGAGTCCACCTTCTCCTACTCCTCCCCACCTGTTTAACTTTTAAGTCTCTTTCTTTTTGACGATTTCTGGAGTAGGAATAAAGAATAAACCAGGTTATAAGGTCCCTGAACAGCCCTGTCCGGAGCAGGTACCCTGTAACTAACTATTCTTCCTTTCTCTACCTGGTGGGGTCCTGAGCGCTGACCTCTGTTGACTCTGGACTTCCGGAAGTTCTGTGGAGGTTGGGGGGTTGAGTCACCCCCAGGTGGGATTGGGGTAGGAAGAGGAAGCAGCAGAGGCTGGGCAAGTTCCCCAGGGCGAGCTGGATCGTGCAGAGGACCATTTTCCGTGGTCGTCCGAGTGCCCCTGGTGCCGGTGCAGGGGGCGGGTCCTCGCGTGCCAGACACGCCCCGGCCAGGTTTATAAGAGGCGGGGCTGACGCTCCTGGAGCGGCGCTTCTCTTTCCTCCGGTTCGGGGCTGAGACTCCACGCGCCCAGAACCCGACCTGCGGACGCTGCGCCGGGCCCTCCGCCCGCTCCCTCGCTCCGCGGCTCCCGCACGCCAGTCCAGCCCGCGCACGGAGACCGAGACGCCGCGCGCCCAGCCCAGGGGCCTCGCTGAGCTGCCCATGGCGGACCTGAGCTTCATCGAGGATTCGGTCGCCTTCCCGGAGAAGGAGGACGACGAGGAGGAGGAAGAGGAGGGTGTGGAGTGGGGCTACGAGGAAGGTAACGGCCACGGGCCTGGCGTCGGGGTCCCCGTGAGCGCGCGGTCGGCTGGCGACGAGGGCACTGCGCTCCAGCCCCGCGCGCCCTCGCAACCCGCACGCCCTCTTCTCTCAGGGTCGCTGTCTCCTTCCCACCCCCGGGTCAGAGGCAGCGCGCAAGAGCCCAGACTCCCCGCCGCCTGCCTTCCTGCCGCCGCCTGCGTTCGCGCTCAGAACACTGGTGGCCGGGTTCAAGCCCGCTGCCTGCCCTGCGCGGCTTTCACGTCTGTCACTTTTCTGGTCCTGTCCTATCCAGAACTGCCCCGAGTAGCCAAGAAAAACAGCTACATTTTATTCAAATTCTTGATCCAATCCTAGTAAAACTGTTCTCTCCTTGCTTTTATTAGGCCTTGGTGGGAATTAAGTATTTGTACATTTTCCTGAAAGATATTAGCAACGCTCAACTTTTTCTGAAACGTGCCCAGAATTTCAAACTGGGCCATCGGGTTTGGTGAGAAGGGCTTTGCTTAAAAAAAAAAAAATAGTTTTTCACGTTTACCCCTCAAGATGTAGGAGTCCTGATGGAGCTAAGCAGTAGAGCTAATGTTAATGACGTACATTGAAACAAGTATAGAACTTGTAATTATAATTTATAAAACGTGTGAGAATTTCTAACACTGCACACTTCACAATAGAGTTTTAACACTGCACACTTCACAATACTCTATTTGGGGTTTTGATAAGCATTTGTTTGCTAACATGAGTTCTGCCCTCTGGCTGTCATCCAGAGTTTTACTGTTAAAGTATTTTCCAATTACTTAACAGATTTGAACTAATGAGAAGGGGAAGACTTTCTGGCATTATTTGTTCCTAAGCATTCAAAAGTGACATTCTTAAGCCATAAATTATTACATCTATTGTAGGCGCATCTTCAAAATGTATTTTGTTAGTCCTGGATTTTGTATGCAATGTTTGATAATAGAGCATTTAAAATATAATGGAAAACTTCACAATTTCATATTTTGTCTGTAAAGAGCTTCTTGTACCAGAGCCGACCCATAGCTAACCCTCGAGCAGATTTTCAGAAGCAGTAAAAGATTGCCCATCTTTGGTTTGACTGCTCAGTTTCTTACCACTAAGCCACCAGAGCTCTTAATACTATCATAGTATTAGGTCATATTATTAGGATCATGGAAATTCTGTGTAAGCAGGCAGATTTTTATTTAACAATGTCCTTGTTTTTACATGTAAAGTTTCACTGTAAATTATTTTACTTTTCTCTCTTCTCAATTAATTTTATTTTTAGGAGTCGAGTGGGGTTTGGTGTTTCCAGATGCTAATGGAGAATATCAGTCCCCTATTAACCTAAACTCAAGAGAAGCCAGATATGACCCTTCACTGCTTGATGTCCGTCTCTCTCCAAATTATGTGGTTTGCCGAGACTGTGAGGTCACCAATGATGGACACACTATTCAAGTGATCCTGAAGTCAAAATCAGGTATTGTCAGAGACACTCTTGTATGGTCTTCTAAACGAGAAGTTATGGTGGAACTATCAAATGCTCATTATTTAGTGTGTGTGATCATAATGGTAGACATATAGCTCTGTTTTATAGACACATTTATATATTATGGCTGTGCCTCTCTGGCAGTGTGAATCCAACAGGGACTCCTTGAAAGGAAGTTGGGTTATTTCCTTCTATTCAATTTACAGGCTCAGAAACCCAATAGAGGATCAGCTGTGAGTTGGTTGTGACTTGATGAAATGATGCTGATTGTGTATTATAAAACACAGTTTTTGAAGTGAAATGTGTGCCTTTGGGTTGCTGATTGTGTATTATAAAATGCAGTTTTTACAATTATTTTTTGAAATAGTTTTAAAAGATGAATTTATGAAGATGTCAGTTTGACATTACTCCATTGAATTTGAAGAATGATATATTCAGGTGTTCCTTACTACATTGTGAATCATAATATGTTGTTCTTTATAGAGCCACAAGGTGAACCCCCTAGATTGAACAACCCAGCAGAAACCTGAAGCCCATCATTTCAAGTAGATTCTGACGGTAGATTCAGTTTGAGGACAGAGTAGAATTGCCCTTTCAGGCTTCAAAGATACCAAATCCTTTTAGAAGCAGACTATCTCCTTTCCTTCTATTATTATCTTCCTTTTATTCTGTTAAAGAGTTGGATATGGTGGCCTAGTGATCATGAGCTGTGCTACCAACCCAAAGGCACACATTTTGAATCTACCACCTGCTCTGCAGGAGGAAGTTGTATAATTTCCTGCCTACAAATCAAGGCTAATTTTCCTATTACTCTATCATCCTCTGCTGTTTTACAATTGTTTCCATATATTTGAATTACAATCTAAGGATACTTTAGGCAGAATATTAAATGATCCAGGAAGTAGTAAAAGAAGATAGAAAGAGTATACAGAGTCACTGTACCAAAAGGAATTGGAAGACACAGATGAATTTTGTGAAACAACATATGAGCAAGAGCCTATGGTGATGAAGGAAGAAGTTCAAGCTTCTTTGAAGGAATTGGCAAAAATAAGGCCCCAGGAATAGATGGTATACCAACTGATGTATTTCAACTAACAGATACTGCCCTAGATGTGCTTACCAAGTTGTGCCAGGAAATCTGGAGGTCAACCAGTTGGCCATCTGACTGGAAGAGATCTATATTTCTTCCTATTCTAAAAAAAGGTGACCCAACAGAGTGTGGAAATTATCGAACAGTATCCTTGACATCACATGCAAGCAAGATTCTTCTGAAGATCATCCAAAAACGCCTGAACAGAACATCAACAGAGAACTGCCAGAAGTCCAGGATAAGTTTAGAAGGGGTCATGGTACTAGGGATATTGTAGCTAATGTTAGATGGATCTTAGCTCAATGCAGGGGAATATCTATCTGTGTTTCATTGATTATGCAAAGGCTGTGGATCACAACAAACTGTGGCTGACTCTGAGAAGAATGGAAATCCCAGAACACTTGATCGTGCTAATGCAAAACCTATACTTGGACCAAGAGAAGTCGTCGGAATGGAGCAAGGAAACACAGCATGGTTCAAAATTGGGAAGGGTGTATGCCAGGGATGTGTCCTATCTCCATACCTTTTCAGTCTATATGCAGAACAGATTATCCAGGAGGCTGGACTGTATGAAGAGAAGCATGGCATCAGGATTGGTGGAAGATTCATCAACAGTCTGCGTTATGCATATGACACAACCCTGTTTGCTGAAACTGAGCAGGACCTGAAGCGCTTGCTGCAGAAGGTCAAGGACTGTAGGCTTCAGTATGGATTGAGGCTCAGTATCAGGAAGACAAAGATTCTCACCACAGGGCCAATTGGCAGCATCAGGATGGATTGTTAACAGCTTTAGTTTGCTTGGCTCCATATTCAACATTCTTGGCACTAGCAGCCAGGAAATTAAAAGATGTGTTGCGATGGGAGAATCTGTTGTTAGGGACCTCTCCAAACTACTGAAGAGCAATAGTGTCACTCTAGAGATTAAGGTGTGCCTGATACAGGCCATGGTCTTTGTAGTCACTTGCTATGCATCAGAGAGTTGGGCAATGACTAGGGAGGATAGAAGGAGAATTGATGCCTTTGAGCTGTGGTGCTGGAAAAGAGTATTGAATGCACCATGGACTGCTAAGAAAACAAATGCGTTCATCCTGGAGAGGGTTAAACCGGACTGCTTCTTGGAGGCAAGGATTCTGAAACTTCATCTGACATACTTTGGACATGTTACATGGAGGGACCAGCCCTTGGAGAAGGACCTCATGCTGGGAAGGATGGAGGGACAGTGCAGGAGAGGAAGACCTCTATGACGTGGCTTGATTCAGTGACTGGGGTAATGGGGGTAGGTGTGTCAGAGACAGATTGATACAGGACAGAGCAGGGTTTAGTGCTGTTGTACATAGGGTTGCTGTGAGTCACAAGTGACTTGATGGCATATAACAACAATAACATGCGAATAACAGCTGAATATTCTGTAACTTGTTTTGAACTTTTAAAATGTAATAATTGCTATGCATTTTTTTCTTTTTTTGCTATGGTAAAATATACACACAATAAAATTTACCATATTGCCTGTTTTTCAGTATGTAGTTCATTGGCATTAGATATGTTCATCATGTTGTATAACTATCATCACTATCAATCTTCAGATGTTTTTTAAAAAATACTCAGAAACAGAAACTACCAATTAAGTAATAACTCCTTAGTCCCCAGAGCCCAGCCTCTAGTAATCACTATTCTAATCCCTGTCTCTATGCATTTGCTCATAGGGAGCTCTTGTGGTCTAGTGGCAAGAAGCTGCACTGAAATTACAAAGGTGTGCAGTTTGAATACACCAGCTGCTCTGCAGGAGAAGGATGGGCAGTCTCTTCCCATGTGATTTACTGCCTTTGAAAACCTGCTGGATTGTCAGCTATGAGTTGGTTTCAACTTGTCAGCAAACAATGACGTGTATTTCATATAAGGAGCTCTGGTGATATAGTGTGTAGCAAGGTGTGTTGCCAACCTAAAGGTCTGTGCTTCTCTGTGGTTTGAATCCACCATTGGCTCCTTGGGAGAAAGACAGGCAATCTTTTCTTGTTGTAATTTGCAATGGACCAATGAAGGGTCACTATGAGTTGGAACCAACCCCATTTCATGTAAGTAGAATGTAATAGTTTCCCTTTTGGGTCTGAGATATTTAATGTAGAATAATGGCTATGTGGTTTTATGTACTTAGTTTTTTATTTCTCTAGAATGCATTTTCTCATTTTGACTGACTTCCAATCTGGGCTCTACGACTTGTACTCTAACTATTCAGAGGCCTTTTATTTAAGAAGTGGATGCCAGGGAGCTCTGGTGGCCTAGTGGCAAGGAGCTGCAACTACAATCCCAGAGGCTCACGGTTCGAATCCACCAGATGCTCTGCTGGGAAAGGAGGGACAATCTCCTCCTGTACCAGTCAGATCTGATTTGACGGTACACTCACACAAAAATAATAAAATAAAATAAAAAAGAAAGAAAACATAAAAAAAATAAAATAAAAAAAGAAGTGGATGCCAATCTTGCTTTCTCTATTAAAATCTGTCCACCATGTGTAACCCTGTGGAATTTGACACACTTTAGCATGGCTTTCAGTATCACAACAACTCACAGGTTATCTCAATAAAGCAAATTGGCAAACAAGTGCTATACCAATTATAACAGTGTTCTCCCCAAATACAATAAATTGACAGTTTAGTACCTGTTGCCTAGTGGCAAGAAGCTGCACTGAAATCCTAAAAGTAATCAGTTTAAATCCACCAGCTACTTCAAGGGAGAAGTCTGGGCAATCTTCTCCCAGTCTTTGAAAACCTGCTGGAGGGTCAGCTGTAAATCGATTCTCTATAGTACTCAACAACAATAACGAATAAGGCTTTATACCAAACCCAAGGATGTAAAACTGTCAACAACGTCATCTTACTTGGATCCATACTCAACATTCTTGATACCAGCAGTCAGGAAATCAAGAGACGTATTGTACTGGGAATGTCTGTAGTCAGGGACATCTCTAAATTATTGAGAAGTAAGGATGACAATTTGAGGACTATAATGTGTTTAATTCAGGCCATCCTCTCTCCAGTCACTTGCTATGCATGTGAGAGCTGGACAGTGAATAAGGATGATACAAGAAGATGTGATGCCTTTGAGCTGTGGTGCTGGAGGAGAGTACTGAACAACCCATGGACTGCCAAAAGAACAAAAAATATGTCTTGGAGAAAGTGCAGCCAGAATGCTCCTTGAAGACAAAGATGATAAAGCTTCACCTCACATACTTCAGGCACGTTGCTAGGAAGGGCTGTTCCTTGGAGAGGGACATCAGACGGGCAGAGCGTTGGTGGAGGAGAGGGAGACTCTCAACCAGGTGGATTTACACGGTGACTACTGTAATGGACTCTAGTGTGTCAGGATGTGCAAGGATGACATAGGATAGAACAGGGTTCATATCTGTTGTTCATAGGTTCACTCTCGACTCAACGACACCTAACAACAACATCATGATTCATTTATACACTATCCAACAGATGGCAGATCTTTCAGGTATATGAAGTAGTCCTTCCAGTCCTTCCTTGTTTTCCTTGGAGATGCATTACGAATTCTTCTGTTTGGACTGCTTACCCTTTAGGTCTAATTCCCAGCCATCCTTTTGGGACCTTGTCCTCTTAAGGCTAGGACATCTCTTTGCTGTTCTCCTGTGCTGGGATCCAGGTTTCTTGGGTGCCAAGCCATCTTTGCTCTAAGCTGCTCCCTCAATTCAGGGAGTTTCTGACTTTATTCTTTTATAGCTCATTTTCCAGAAACCCCTCGGTTTCTGTTACTCTTTATCAAATACGTAATCCTTAGTGGTAATTTGCCTGGAAGTAGCCATCCATGGTGGACATGTTTATCCTCGGAAATCTGGGGACATGGTCCCATTACCTCCTGCCTCTCCTGGTTAGAGGTGAAAGAT